AGGCCCAGCGCTGGCCAGAGCATGGACACAGCAGGACATGGGCTTCTTCCCACCACAAATGTATCCTTACACTTACATCTTTTATAGTAAGGGACACCATGGTAAATGAACTCTTTATCATGGTGATAGGCTTTTCTTTTTTTTTTTTTCCTCTTCTGTTTTTCTTTTTTTTTTTTGAGGCAGAGTCTCACTATATAGTTCAGCCTTGAACTCACTATGCAGCCCACATTGGCCTCAAATTCACAGTGATTCTCCTGCCTCAGCTTCCTAGAGTACTGGGATTATAGGTATGAACCGCCACACGTGGAAAGCTGATAAGCCTTTCTTTGTAAATGAACTTCAGTAAAATTGGTTTGATTAAAAAAAATGTGGAACTGTCAAAAAACTTTAAAGCTAGAACTTGACTAACTTTGGGAAAGGATGGGTGAGCCACATGTCACTGCTGTACCCTTGCCTGGAAACTGACCCAAAAGATTAACAAGTTGTGCAGGCCGGCTAATCTAAGACAAAACACTTCAACAGCTGACATGTGAGCAGGGTTTTAATTAATTATCGAGATTCTAAGGTGTCATCTGTCCAAGCTGAATTAACATCACTCATCTACTTCCTCTAAGCAGTACCTCCCACGCCTGCGTAACAGACAGTGAAGGGCCAGCAAAGCAGCGGAGCACTGCGCACAGCCTGTGCGCAGCCGGCAGGGCCGCGGCGAGGTTCTCACGCAAGTCCAAGGGCGCCCCGACGCTCCAAGCCTGCACTGCCCTCACCTGCTCAGACGCCGAGCCACACAGTTTCCACCATCCGGTAGCACAGGATCAACACTAACTTATTTCACAAGAACAGTGCTTCTGGCTCACCACACCGCCTCAACCCTCCTTTATACTTGAAGTTTCTGAAGCAATTAAAGTGGGTGCACTCCTATAATCCCAGCACTTTGGAGGCTGAGGCAGGACGATGGCCATGAGTTTGAAACAAGCCTGGGCTACACAGTCAATTCTAGGCCAGCCTGGACTACACAGTGAGACCCTGCTTCAAAAAACCAGAATAGACAGACAGACACAAAGCAATTAACGTGATATTGCTGACATATTACACAAGGCTTTAAAAACTAGTTTTTAAAAAACAGGGACCTCCTTTCCTGCTACCACTGCAAGATGCGTCATACCTGAGTCACGACTTGTGTCAGTCATCCTGCCAGTCCCTCCACCAGAATGGACAGAAATGAACTGTTCACCGCGAAAGCAATGAACTCAGGCCAGCTTGTGAGTCAGAATGCACTCAGGGGTCTCCATCCCCAGAGGTGTGAGCTGGGCACATCTGGAGTGGGTCTTGGGAAGCTGCCCACACAGACAGCTCCCTTGATTCAGATGCACAGCGTATTTTTGGATCCACTGATTCCAATTATACTTCTAAATCTGCAGTTATCAATAAGAAACATCTTGCTCTTAAAACACTGAGTAACTAAAGAGAAATATAACGCATGCTGGAGTATCTCAAAACATGAAGGCAACATCAAGGAAACACAGTGCACGGTATGTAGATGCCAGAAAGCAAGCAAGCTATACTACGAATGCAATCAGACTACGAAACCTGGAAATGCCGAAACAGCACTAGTCACTCACCATCCCTGAGGAAATGGAAATTTGGTTAATCATTCCTTCCCCAAAGGTGGCTTGCTAGCATAAAGCAGCACAGGCCCCTGGTTCTGCGGACAATAAGCTGCTCACCAGGTCATGACAACCTTGCCGCCAACTGTAATTTACGAGCTGTGCCGCCCCTGCAGTACCCTTTCCCATTCCGGAAGCAATGGTTTACACAAGCTGCCTGCTGGACTACGTAGTAACTGCTCACCCCTCTATAAGTCACAGATGGAAGCCAGAAGCATCTGAATTCACAGAAGACTGTGTACAAATTTTCACCAAAAATATGAAAATACAATTCCTTCCTTGACAGGTAGGAGTTAGGGTTAAGGTTAGGGTTAGGTAGGAGTTCTTAATACAAACAGTTCCTGACTTACAATAGAGCGCAACTTAACCACTTTTTTTTCTTTGTGATAAAAGCAGTATGGATTCAATCCCGACAGCACAGCACTGTGAGCTCCGAGTGTTGCCCCTTTCCTGGCCAGTGATACGCCACACGACCCTCTCCCGAGGTGCTGGGCAGGGCAGCGGGCAGAGCCAGGCGCAGCCCTTGCGGATGAGGCCAACAACAGCCCCCAGCAACAGTGCTCACACTGGGACGTCTGCTAGGCTGGACGGATGAAATGCAGTTTTGACTTCTGGAATTTCCAAATTACAGTGGGCTTACGTGAACAGAAAGTCAAGGAGCTTATGTACCTTAATAAACAGACTACAACAGCCACTCAGGAAGATTCTGAATTTGAAGGATGTTTTGTGCTATTATTACCTATAGGAAAAGAGAATGCAAGAATTGCCCTTCAGAATTTCCATCAAAACAGGACGGTTTCCATAAAATACTCTCATTGCAACAAGTCCTCAAAAGCAGAAGAGACAGTGGCAGCACGGAGGGTGGTTCTTGGGACCTCCCACCTCTCCTTCCCGTGGGGTGAGCAGAGTCACTCCAGGGTCACGCAGGCACCGCCCCGCACTCTCTGCAGCCTGAAGTAGGTCCTCCGCCCTCTCCCCAGCAGAAGCCCTCTCGCACCTGGCCCTCTCTTCCTGCCAGTACTGCTTTTCTCTTTCAGCTGCAGTACTTCCCCTTACTACTGGCGGGCCTCAGCCCCTTACCCAGGGGCTCTGCCAATCACATTGCTCGAGGGACTGATAGAAACACGATTTTAAGACGCCTTCCCCACTTCAACAGTTCTAGAGGGAAACAGGATATTCCAAACCTCCACAAAAACGCAGTCAACATTCACGCAGTGAAGTCCTCCTGAAAGAGGGTCTTTCAACAAAGAGAGTCTCGCTGCTCAGAAAGTCCAGAAAGCGGTAATACCCTTAAGTGTCTCCTCTCACACTTCCCTTCCAGTGTGCTCTACCTATCAGCTCTCTGCAGTACCACTCACTTGCATCACTCCGGTTCTGAAACACCAGCAGCAGGTCTCCTCTGACACACGAGGGGCAGGGGACTCTGATAGGCAACAAGGCCTGGAGAGCTGCCCGGCTGCCTCTGCACGCGGCTCACCCAAGGATGGCTCTGTGCAGCCGTTTCAGCCAGCCTGGAATCTCCTGCCTCTCAGTGTATTCATGTCACCCTGTCACCACCCTGGAGCCACCAAATATGGTTTTTCAGCACACAAACTGTGCAGCCATATGTAGCAGCTCTATCTACTTCCATTAAAATGTTTCCCATTTTAGGGGATTATGGAGCATCAGAAAAATATTCCCTGCGTTTTGTACAACGGGCATTCAGTCCATGTTTAAAGTTTGAAGAACAGTAGCCATAACCCATTTTAACGTAGAAATGCCAACATGAAGACTGGTTTCTCGAAGAAGACTCCTCCGAGTTCTGCACTGGAAGTCATCCGCATTCCTCCCCATTCTGAAGGCCCTACGCCTATTTTACGACTTCACACACCTTCCCGTCTACAGCTGTACCTTCATCTGTCTTCTGTCCCCTTACTTCTCGTGTCTATTATGTGCTGGGCTTTGTACTAAGGGCTTTACTGATGTTACTTCAGTTAACCCCCACTAGAACCTATGAGGTCACCATCGTCCTTGCACCACAGAAAAAGGAAACCAAGATTGGATAACTTGGGGCTGGGGATTTAGCTGAGCGGCAAAAAGCGCCTGCCTGGCAAGCGCAAGGTCGTGAGTTCGGTTCCCGGTACCGGAGAAAAACCAAAAAAAAAAAAAAAAAGATTGGATAACTTGCTCACGGTAAAGCAACCACCACCACCCAACCTATCGTTCTTATCGATGTAAACGTAAATACCATCTAGTCCAGCTGCAAAACCCTTGACTACCAAACCCTTCCAAGTCCCCAGTGCTAGCCTCTGACAGTCTTAAGCAGAGACAAGGCAACGGATCCACTCCTGTACTCACTCTGGTGCTTGTTTGCGAGGGACACAGCCAGAAGCAGGAGCTCGCAGAACCTTTCCATGATTAAATCTAAGACTGATTCCTCAGTCCATGGGGTGAAGGTTGGGCGGCTGTGACGGTGTGACCCTTAAGACAACAGCAGTCCCAAAAGCGAGCCGTTATCTGCAAGCTACTCGGCGTCCCCAGCTCCACTGTCCCAAGCAAGCCTCAGTCCAAGGTCGTCCCCTACCTCTGGACCGCTCCTGCTTCTCCCACGTTCCATTCCTAGCAAACCAACCAGATGGAGCCACGCTGCTCCCTTGTATCACACCCTCCAGTGTCCCCTGCTGCTTCTCACACTGGCCTGGGAATGGGGTTCCTTCCTGCCTCCTCTGGCCGGGCTCTTGTAGCTTCTACCTCCCTCTACTACGCCTCCAGGAACGCCGCCTTCCTGGGCCTGGGTGCTGGCTCGTGCCCCTGCACGGCAAGCTCTTATGCCAGACCCTGCCTGGGCTGCTCCCTCCCCTTCACGGCTCAGTCCCAGGGCTGCCTCCTAGGGTGCTCTCTTCATACACTGCACCCGCAGAAGAGTCTGCTCTTACCGTGCTCCAGGCCTGCATTTGTGAGAGCAACAAGGAAACAACCGGAAACTTTCAAAATCACATTCCCTGAGGCAGGAAAAAGGCCATTCCTTACGCCTCTATATTGTGCAAATACATTCATTTTTAAAACCCACTGAACTCACAACCAGGGGCTTAGGAAGGAAACAAATCTAAGTATACTGATAGTGTATTTCAAGAGATAGTTTATATTTTCAGTTAAAAACCAGAAAACGTGGATCGCCTTTCAATAAAAATCAGAAAATATTCAACATCTGACAGATTAGTCCAATCTATGAATTAGAAAGCCTAATTCTTGTGAGGGAGAGATATTATGTCCTCCCTGGGCAATCCCTGACCTTCAGTTTAATCCTGCTTTACTTTTTACCTTCTAATAATGATTTTTAAATGGTTAAGCACTTACCATAATGTGACTGAAATGCCTGCGGTTTGACAACCTGATTACAGTCGTTACACACCACCAAGTAGAAATCATCATGGGCTGGACAGAGACCAAATATTGGCATGTCTGCAACAAAGAAACAGAGCATCACTCACTCACCTGGTCATGACTGAGATGAGACCGTTTGGAGGAGCAACTTTTCTGAAGAAGCCACCTTTTTATAAAGCACACAAGGATAAATATCATTCCAGTTCAAAAGCGTCTGATGTGGCACACCATGATTAGGACGGAAATCAAAGGAGGCCAACAGAGAGACTTTACAAAGGGTTAAAATGAAATGCACCAAGAATTATGACGGGGTATCACAGACAAATCTATTAAAATACGAAGCATGAGTGCATCTGCATGACAGAACTTCAGAGGAACTCTGTCAAAGCTTATGACAAAGTAATAATTCACAAAGCTGTACCAACTAATGTTTCTAGTTGTTCGAGGCCTGTCACCTGGTCCCTGGGTCCCAGTTGAGAAAAGGGGCACAGATGTCCCTGCACAGTAAAATCGCTGGTTTTACCAGCAGGTAACACAAAGAACATGATTTTTGGACTTTTTCCTAGGTCACGGAAACCCCCGGTCCTTCTGCTTACGTACGGATGCCACCACGGAGACTTCAGGACAAACTCGGCATTTCACACATTAACTGCAGTTGGGCTGCCACAGTGGGGCAGCAGAAAGAGTCAACTTAAAACGTGAAAGTGAAACTAAACTATTCGCACACATGGAAACTGAAAGTAACTAGAGTCCCAATCATATTCTGAGCAAGTGTTACCAACAATCTAGAACTGGGCATGGTGGTGCAGGCCTACAATTCCAGCACTCTGGGAGGCTGAGGCCGAGGATCCCAGGTTTGAGCCCAGGGTGGGCACTTGGCAATTTAGTGAGACCCTGCCTCAAAATAAACCATCGCAGCACGCTGCGAAGAGCTGGGTTTAGGCACATGGACACATGAGCACACACTGTAAAATCGAGAGAACAGTTGAGGACGGTAGCGCATGTCTGTAATCCCAGCACTCAGGAGGCTGAGGCAGGAGAACTATAGAGTTTGAGGCTGAGGCAGGAGAACTATAGAGTTTGGGCGATACAGTGAGTTCCAGGCCTGTGAGAGCTGCATTTTGAGACCATGTCGCAAAAAACCAAAATCTAATAGCGCCACCTTTAGCTCTGACCTGGGCTAAAAGCTTAAACTTTATATATGTCAAAATTAGTGATTTTAAGCAGATATTTTACACTACATGCACTATTTAGAATATCTGTAATAAACAGACAGGTAGCATATTTCAATTTCATGAATGTCTCAGTAGACCAAATGCCATGTGTAAAGGAGGAAAAAAGACCTGAACAACTGATTAGCATCTGCTTTTTTTCACAAAGATTTCATTTCACTTTCTCCATCTCGGTGATCTTGATGGTTAAAAGAAGAAAAGCCTTAAGAAGATGCCAGGTGGTGATAATCTCCAAACTCTCACATTACTGATCTAATATCTACACATGGGTACAGCTCAGATTTCTTAAACAATTTCTGTTACATCGAATGTAGGGACAGCTAACTACAACTCTCGAAGACATCAGGATCCGGCACGACCTGGGACGCAGCTGCAGCGCCGAGGCCGGTCTGTGTTCCTACCTCGGCCCCCACACAGGTACCACCCTGTCAGCACTCCACTGGGAAGAAGCTGACTCACAACCAGATGGGGCGCTCTGTCTAAGGTCAACGGCTGGGATTCTACTCTGATGCACGATGATGGCCTGGATTTGGTGCTTTGTGAAGAAGAGGAATGACCTCTGGACAGTCCATCCAGACTGACTCCAGTAGACCAGGACGTCAGCACTGAACACCTCCGACTGCATGAAGCGATTAGATAACGTAAGAAACCTCTAGCAGACTGCTTATTTCTGTAAGTGTAATTATTTAATGAACAGTAAGAGCCAATGTGCTATGTTCCTTGAAAGCAGGCCCATACTGAGTTAAATACAGGATGTGTGGGAGAAGGGGAAAGGTTACAGGCCATGCAATGGTATCAAATAAGCCATTTTCCACATTGACTGTTTTTTGACATGACATTTCATTTTCAAAAATAAAAACTCAGAGTAAATTATCCTAAGTTCCATTATATCTCTGTGCTAAATGTCTAAAAGAACTGTTCAAAAGGAAAATCCAAGATATAAAAGTGGTGTTACATCTATAATTTACAGTTGTAAAGTATGTGATGTCTATAAATACCTAGTAAGCAGTTTTATTAATAAAATCAACTCAAATTAGTTTTATTAATTAAACAGTAGTTAAAACCACTTTAAATACATGTTCTTCATTTAGTTTTAGTCCTCTATGATATGCCAGTTTGTGTAGTTTCTTATAGTAGTCAATGACAAGCAAGACTGTTTAAAATACACCACTCTGTCAGATACCAGATAGTTCTGGGGACTAGCTCACTGCTCCTTTAAAATAAGGCAATTTTTAAAAATTAAGGGTACAGGTCCTTTGAAGTACCAGGACTCTGGATTTGCTACAGTGATGCTTACACAGAAAACTCTTCTCTTTCCTGGGTCCTCTCACACTTTCATGAGACTCAGAGGAAAGCTAAGCGGGTACGAGGTGTTCTGCAGGGGCGAGGAGTCCATACTGTGAACATTTCGGTTTCCTCAGTGACTCAAGCTCAGTTGCAGCTGATAACATGGTAATGATGGGAACCACAATGACAACCAGCCGACATGAGAAAACCAGCTGCCAAAGCTTGTACTAAGCACTTTTATACGGTTTATCCTGTTCCTTTTATCTTTCGGAGCCGATTCTTACCATTAAGATGAATTCTACAAATTACTGGGTGCGCTGTGACGTTCCCAACATGCACATGCCGTGCCCTCATGTCAGTCTTCCCTGCCCCCACCACACCCATACCCTGTGTATTTCTAACAATAACCCCACAATGTGATTCTCATTTTACTTCTGAAGAAATGATCTAATAGCACCCAACAAGAAAGAAGTGCAATCAGGACTCGGGCTCCTGTGACCTATAAATTCGGTTCCTAATCTCTCATGAGCACCATGCATCTTCCTGAACAGCACATATGTACCTGTTACCACACACACTGAGAATGGGAGCAAATACGGGAGACTTAAATCTAGTTCATGTTACCCTATGAAATTGGTATAAAAACTGGTATACAAATCTAAAGCAACTTTAATTTTAGCTTTCTACATTCTTTACTTTCAGATATCCATATCTGGGAGCAACCTAGAGGATACAAAATAATTTACATAAAATGTCTTCTGCAAAGAAGAAGAAGTTCTATGTCCTTTTTCTGTACTGGGACATTCCAGGGACCTCAGCAACAGAACAGTGTGGAATATGGCAGCAGCAGAAAGAAGTAGCTGGTGAGAGAGGCTGTACATATGGTTCTGAATATTTTAAAGCATAAATTCAAAATTGGCCCACCTAGAAATTAACATATGACTCTTACCCAAATGCAGAGAAAAGTTGGATTTATGTAAGAAAAAATGCCAACTTAACAAAAACGAAGTCATTACTGAACATAAAAGTTTACAAAATGCAACTTAAGTATTTAACTTAATTATGTATTTGGAAATAACAGAAAACTTGAAAATTACACTTAAGTTTTACGGATTTGGAACTAATTTGGGTGAATGGACTTTTACTGTTGTACAAGCCCTAACTCCTTCTCAGGATTGGGCCAGCCCCATCTCCTAGTGAGTGAGGGGCCACACATGCTCTGGGAAGCCTGGGGCAGCACGCTGCGAAGAGCTGGGTTTAGGCACATGGACACATGAGCACACACATGTAGAAGCTCCACAGTCCCACGACGAGAGCAAGCCCGCTGCTGGAGACCAGACCTCCAACAGTGGTCAATGTATCCAGTGAACTATGATGCTGTTCTCTCCATTTTGAAGACTACGCTCACTAAGAGGAGAACTTGAGTGCTCTAGCAAACCAGTTAACCTTGGCAGGATCTTGAGCGCCTTCCTTCTCCCGCGCATCCCAAGCTTCTACACGACAATGACTCCCCCTACTCTTCTATCTTCACCCAGACTACCCGCAAGCTCCAACTGCCTGCCGGACGCTACATGTGCCAGCGTTCCATACCCAACCGCGTCCACAACAGCACTGGGCCCGCCCTGCTCTCCGTTCCCGGAGTCCACAGCACTGTTCACCCTCGGTCGGACCCTCATCGCGTCCGGCCAGCACCAGCTTCAATCAGTCCCACTCCACAGCCCTGCCTGCTTCTCCCCGTCGCCCTGAGACTGCCCACAGGGCCTGACAGCAGCACTCCTCCACCGACTCTGGAAGAGGTCTCCAAAGTGGTCTGCAGTTCCCTCCACAAGATGCCCAGGGTGATTATGGGGAAGCTGCTACCAGGTCCTGTCACTGGGGTGTCTGCAGAGGCGTTTGCGAATGGAACCTCAGCCCCGAGGCCGACCTCACGACGCACTCCGCTCCCTCGCTGCCTGCTCCTCTCTTCGGGGTTCACTCTGCTTCAGGCACACAGACCTCCTTCCTCCCCGGACCCAGGAATCTCTTCCCCAGCCAGGCTCCGCCCTTGCTTTTCATGAGATGCCTGGCGCCTCCTGGCACAGCAGGTCTCAGCTCAGCGTCCCCTCTTCAACAGGCCGCTCACGACGCCTGCTGAGCTAGCTGCTGTGTACCACTGGGACTGTAGGCAGAGTGCGCTCCGGTCTCCTGTGTCCAGCACTGACGATCACAGTGCGTCCTCCTCTGGGTACTCCACAGGTAGAAGTGCAGTCTCAGACGGGGCTCTCTGAGACTTCTGTGAGACGGAAGTCACGCACCGCACTGCACTGGTCAGGAAGCTGACGCACACAGGCCCCGAGACTTGAAACATCTGCTGCATGAGTGTGTGTGCTGTGTATCTCAACTTCTTTTTCTTCTTCTATGAACACACGTTAGTGACACGGAGCGGTAAGGGTCATTCTGGGAAACTGGCTCATACGTTTAATGTATCTTGCTCATTTTTGATCCCACTGTCTCCCTCCCCATTCATGTACTGACTTACGAGTGAAAATAAATGAAAACCTTCCCAGACTTATTTGGGAG